CACACACACACCACACACACACTACACACACAACCATACACACAACCACACACACAACCACACACACAGCACACACACACCACACACACACTACACACACAACTATACACCACACACACTACACACACACCACACACACACCACACTACACACACACACCATACACACACCACACACATACCACACACACACATACTACACACACACCACACACACACATACACCACACACAGTACACACACTACACACACAACCATACACACACCACACACACACTACACACACAACCATACACACACCACACACACTACACACACTACACACACACACCTCACACACACCACACACACACTACACACACATACTACACACACTACACACACACATACTACACACACACACTATACACACTACACACACACCACACACACACACTACACACACCCCACACACAACCATACACACACACTACACACACACCCCTCACACACACCACACACACCACACACACACTACACACACATACTACACACACACACTATACACACTACACACACACCACACACATACTACACACCACACCACACACATACTACACACTACACAAACCATACACACACACTACACACACACCACACACAACCATACACACACCACACACTACACACACACCACACACACACACACACACACCACACACACCACACACACACTATACATACACACCATACACACCACACACACACACACACACACACACACACACACACACACACACGCTGGTCTATGCAAACTAGGTACAGTGATTTTTGCCTTGGCAAGGAGATCAGGGACGGTCTCCCTTTGGCCTAGCCTGAAGCCTCCTTGAGATTAGCAATGATCAGTCTAATTAGGATGAAATTTAAATGAAAAAGATTCTTCAAAAGATGAATGGAGGGACCAGCAGATGGCGTAACAGTTGTGTTAATAGACTCCCATGTAGTCGATCTCAGTTCAAGTCCCAGACCCAGCGGCTTAAAATTCACGCCACACGTGGGTGCATGCTTGACCAAAATCTCCGGAGGAGAGAGCAGAGGGGATTCGGGCACGACTGTCACCCTGCCCCGGGTGCTTTTCACTTACTGTATCCCTGTCTCTGCAAGTGCGTGCCCTATAGCAAAAAATAGCTCTGTCTAAAAAACATTAAAATAAAATGAATGGAGGAGCCAGCAGATGGCATGTTATGTCACTGGACTCCCACATGACTGACCAGGGTTCGAGCCCCAGACCTGTGACTTGAAACTCATGTGGGGTGTGTGCTCCTGTGGACCCAAGATCCCAGGAAAGAATGGAGGACGAGAGATTGCAGTGTGGCCATCCCCCCGGGGGCTGACTTTTCACTTTTCCTCTCACTGTCTGTCTCCCTTTTGGTGAGCACACACACCCTAAGGCAAAAACATCTTTAAAAACAAAAAATCAGGCCTGCAGGAGTTCTGGCCCTAACTGTCCCCCTTCTCTTCCTGCAGACCCGAGCCCACCCACACGCCTCCTGGCCACCCGGCCCTGCTGCGGCCCCGGCCCTGAGCGACGCCCGGTGCTGGGTGAGGCGCCACGCTTCCACGCGCAGGCCAAGGGCAAGAACGTGCGGCTGGACGGCCACTCGCGCCGGGCCACGCGTCGCAACAGCTTCTGCAACGGCGTCACCTTCACGCAGCGGCCCATCCGGCTGTACGAGCAGGTGCGGCTGCGCCTGGTGGCCGTGCGCCCGGGCTGGAGCGGTGCGTTGCGCTTTGGTTTCACCGCGCACGACCCGTCGCTCATGAGTGCTCAGGATATCCCCAAGTACGCCTGCCCCGACCTGGTCACACGGCCTGGCTATTGGGCCAAGGCGCTACCGGAGAACCTGGCGTTGCGTGACACGGTGCTGGCCTACTGGGCCGACCGCCACGGCCGTGGCTTCTACAGCGTCAACGACGGCCGGGCGGGGGAGCGTCAACGACGGCGAGCCGGTGCTCTTCCACTGCGGCGTGGCCGTGGGCGGCCCGCTCTGGGCGCTCATCGACGTCTACGGCATCACTGATGAGGTGCAGCTGCTCGGTAGGTCCTGGCTCAGCTGGAGCGGGTGGGCCATCTAGGCAGCCCTGGGGGACCAGGCACGGCCTTTCACTAATACCCTCAACTGCTTTCGAGGGCTCCCTCTGCCAGGCTGGGCCAGGCGCCTGGTGTATTTCCAGGCCAGCCAGCCTTCCCGTTTGCAGATGGGATAATTGAGGCGCAGGCAGGTTGGAACCCCCGGGGCTTGAACCCGTGCTCTGGCCCAGGTGCATTCACGTACTTGCTCCTTCACTCCCTGGCTCATTTGTTATGCATCCATTCACTAAATCATTGGCGCATTTGCACACGTCTTTCTTCATCGCTCGCCCCTTCATCCACTTGCTCATCCACTTACTGACTCACACACCCACTTGTGCTCTCGTTCATTCACTCACTGCCAGATTCAGGTGCCAAGTACCCATACTACATGCAGGCGGTGGCCGTCAGGTGTCGGATGTGCCAGACCCATGCCCCCTGCGAAGGGGCTCAAGGCCCGGTGCGGAGGGAGACGGTGCCAGCCTGACTGGCAGAGGAGG